ATGTGATTTATATAAATAAAAAATTATTATATTTATAATACATATTTACATTTACATATTATTATTTACATTTATATTTAATAATTTATATTTAATATATTATATACATTATTATAACATTAATATTATTATATAATACCATAATTATGTATTAATTATTTATTAAAACGATTAAATTGTTTTATTATTTCTATAATTAAATGTAGTATAAAAATATATTTTGTAATTAATAAATCTTAATAAATTCATCTAAATATTCAAAGAAAAGAGTAAAAAATTATAGATTTGTTAAAAAATTGAAACTGATCATTAAAAGAAAGAACTAATAAAAAATATACTGTAATTTGAATAATAGAATAATATAAAATAATCATGTACATGATTTATCCTTTAAAATGATATAATATATACCGTTTTATTCTTATTCCATTGAGATTCACATGGATTAGCTGCAGCAAGTATACTAGTTCTCGCATTTAATTGACAAATAATGCCAGCTTTAGCAATACTTAAAGTTTGCTGTTCCATTACTTCATGTAATACTGATCTTGCATTTTCATTCATTTTATCAAATTCATCAATGCAACATATTCCATTATCTGCAAGTCCTAAAGCTCCTGTTTGTAATATTAATTGCCCAGTTTCTGGATCTTTTGTTACATAAGCTGTTAAACCAACAGCAGTGGAACCTACAACATAATATATTATAAATAAAATATATACAATAAATATTATGAAGATTATATTTTAGTATTATATTTTATATTAACATTATTAAATCTTAATAATAAAGAAAATTATAAAAATTTTCAAAAAACTATTTAAATAATTATATTATATATAAAAATTAATTTTTATTTCTATTTTTTATTCTCATATATTTATTATTTATCAAAAAAAATATTTAGAATTAATAGTATTTTGTATATATATTTCATTAATATTAAAAAATATATATATTTTTAATAAATATTAATAATAAATATTTAATTATGATAAGTTATTTATATTATATTTATTTTTTTTTACCTTTTCCACTAGTATATTGAGATCGTGGTACTAAATTGTAAATGTATTGTAACAATTGTGATTTGCTTGTAC